TTCGGTTCCTGGGGGGGGGCGGGTCCCCAGGCAGGGGCACAGAATTGCAGAGCCTGGGGGAGCTTGTGCTCAGAACCCAGTCTTGTTTGTCCTGGGGTCTTCTGTGCCCCTCTTCCTCCTGGGCACCTGCTTTCCTGCCCCCTTGCGGTCCTTCTGGCCCCCCCTCGAAGCCTCTGGCCTATGCCCGCCCACGGGACCCCTCCTCATGCTCCTTCTGTTGGACCTCCTGTCTCTCCCCACCTCTGAGCTCCCCGCTTGGCTGGCCCCGCGTCCTCTTCTCCACTAGACATGCAGCCCCGGCCTGTGGCCTGCCTGGACTCGGCCCCAGTCGGTTCTGCAAAGTAGGGCCTTGGAGGAGCCCTGAGCTGCCCCAGAGGGGGCGGAGTCCCGGGGTGCACCCTAACCCCACCGCAGTGGGGCTGGCTGGCATTTCCTGCCACATGCCCCTGTCTACCCTGTGGGGAGCAGAAAGGCGTTGGTGGGGTTTCCCAGCTCCCTGCTGTGGGGTCCCTCCAGAACCGGGTTCTGGAGGGAGCACACGGAGCTCAGGGATTTTGGACGGTGGTGCAGAGAGTCCCTCTCTCAAAGGGGCCTTAGGGGCCGCCTGCTGGGCCATTTCTGAGCGGTGGATGTAGTTTCTGCTTGCCCGCGGCTCTGATGGGGAGCTCACCAGCCCAAGAAGCAGTCCCGCCGCTGTCCATTGCCGGGAGAGCTTTCTTTACTTGACACACTTTACCAAATACAGCTCTTCACCGTCGGGCTCTGGGGTGCAGGGAGGTCCTGGGGCTGAGACCCCAGTGCGTCCCGTCTCTGCCCCGTGGCTGATGCCGGCCTCCGGGTGTTAGCATTTTAGAAGCGGTTCTGTGGCCTGAAGTGCTTTTTGTGCCAAAAGAGAGTTCTGTCTGCCACTTGCCCCATGTGGCCTTCCCGGACCGAATCTGGCAGCCTTTCCAGGTCTCTTCACCCATGTTGGGGCTGCTGGGCCTCCCGCTTGGGCAGGGACCTGTCCTTCCTGCAGGTCCCTGTGAGCTCCAGGCCACGGCCTCCTTCCCCAGTCTCACTGATGGCTCATGGTCCCAAAGGAGTGCGCGCGTGCGTGTTGGTGTGTGTGCGCGCACACGTGTGTGCGTGCGTGTTCGTGTGTGCACACGTGTGTGTTGTGTGTGCGTGCGTGTTCGTGTGTGCGTGTGTGGTGTGTGTGCGTGCGTGTTCGTGTGCGCACACGTGTGTGTTGTGTGCGTGTTCGTGTGTGCACACGTGTGTGTTGTGTGTGCGTGCGTGTTCGTGTGTGCGTGTGTGGTGTGTGTGCGTGCGTGTTCGTGTGCGCACACGTGTGTGTACGTGCGTGTTCGTGTGTGCACACGTGTGTGGTGTGTGTACGTGCGTGTTCATGTGCGCACACGTGTGTGTTGTGTGTGTACGTGCGTGTTCGTGTGCGCACACGTGTGTGCGCGCGTGCGTGTTCGTGTGTGCGCGCGTGTGTGCGCGCGTGCGTGCATGTGCAGTGTCAGGGGCATGGGGTGCTGAGGGTGTGAGGTTTGGGGTTCGGGCTTTGCCCCTCCCTCGCAAGCTCCTCTGCATCCCTGGGGCAGGGAGCCTGTGTTGTGTCCTGCAGCCGCGCTGAGCAGGGGTCAGTTAAGTGTGTGGTGACCAGCCAGTGACAAGGCCAGAGCAGGTTCAGGGTATGACTTGTAAAGAACAAGGCCTGAACGTTCCTCTGCTTCTCAGTGGGTGGGGGCGGGTAAGGGGCTTGGCCGCCAGGAGCCTTGCACGCGTGTGGAGGGGGGCGGGCAGGGCCTCTGCAGGCGGAGGATGTGTGGGCTTTTTTTGCCTTTTCTTTGTAACATTCCCTTCCTGGCCAGAGTGTCTCTCTCCAGAAGACTCCAGAAAACACACCCAGCCCATTGTCACCCAGGCTCCGGGAAAGTGTCTACTGTGGATGCTCTGTGTAAACAGGAAACACCCAAAGCCAGGGAGGGGGGTGGGGGGGGGCATGCACGGGTGGGGGCTGGGGACAGCAGGGGTCCTGAGGGGGCACGTGTTGTGGGGGGACAGCAGGGATCCCGAGGGAGCACGCACTGGTGGGGGACAGCCGGGGACAGCAGGGGTCCTGAGGGGGCACACACTGGTGGGGCCTGGGGACAGCAGGGTTCCCGAGGGGGCATGCGCTGAGGGGGGCCGGTGTAGCCACCAGACTCAGCAGCCCCAGAAGCTCACACTGGAGCAGTTGTTGGACACTTGAGCCTGTGCCGTCCAGCCGCGGTGGGGTGGGGCCGCACAGAAGCTGGCGGTGGGTCCTTCTTCCCCTGGTTGCTCCCCCCCTCCTGGTTCTCAGACTTGGGCTAGGGGCAGGCAGTGCCTTGAGGGGCTGGGAGCTTTGGGGTGCAGCCTGGCAGCTGGCAGTCAAACAGGCCTCTCCCTCCCTCCCTCCCTCCCTCCCTCCCTCCTTCCTTCCTTCCGGCCAAGCTTTCTCCTGCCTCTCCCTCCCCTTCCTGGGGGGAGCAGCAAACAAGCAGCAGCTCAGGCCCGCAGGGTGGGCGGTGGGTGGGCGCGGGCCCCGCAGTTGGGAGCTGTGGCAGCAGCGGATGCTCCTCCCAGCACCTGTGGCGACTGGCTGCACCCCTGCACCCCGCCCCTTGAGGCGAGCGGCCCCTGAGAAGCCCTGCGGTGTCCCGGTCTGATTCAGGCCCCCCTGGGCCCCCGGAGCACCTGGGCAGGGGGTGGAGTCTAGGAGTGGCTGCTGGGCTTGGCCCTGGCATCCTGGTCTCCTTCCCGCTTCTAGGAAGAAAGGTGCGTGGGGGTGCAGGGACGCCCTTCTGGGCCTGGGAGCCCCGGGTGCCCTGGCTACCTGGCGGGGTCTCCGTGCTCTCCCGCGGAGCTGGCCGCTGACGCTGTTTTGCAGAGTCCATCTTGTCCCCCTTCGCGTCCACGCTGAAGTCAGAGAGGTGCCCGTCCGACTGCGTGGAGGGGGCAGCCCTGGTCCAGGCCGTGGCTGGCTTCTGCAACGCGGGTGTGTGTAGACAGGGAAGCCCAGGCTTGGGCAGGGGTGAAGCCGGCACCGGGCCCTCATCCAGGGCTGGCTGCGGGCTGGGGAGGCAGGCCACGATGGGTCCCTGCTTGCCTGGTGTGGGGCAGCTGCGGATTTCGGCACTCATGCCTTCGGGCCAGTCTCACGCCCGCGGTCTGTGCCTCAGTCTCTGTGTCTGTCTCGGATGGGTGGACAGGGCCGCAGGAACCCCTGGTTCAGGGACTGGCAGCCCGGCCTGGGTCCGGTGTGTACAGACACCTCTCCCTGCCTGTCCTCTGTCGTCAGCCCCGCTGCTCCCCCCTGGGCTTTCTGGGGAAGGTATGGCCCTCGAGGCACACGTGTTTAGGGCACTCTGAGACCAACAGGGCAGATCTGCGGTGCCCACCCCCACCCTTGCTGACAGGCGTTGCCGGCCCCCAGTGCCGCTGGGATTCTAGTTTTCATTCTCAAGTTCACTGAAATGGGCGATCTCTGATTTTGTGAGTGACTGGCGTTTCCACTGGTTCGGCTGAGGCTGGAGTCAGTGGAGTCAGGGCGCCAGAGGCTCGCCCACCCCCGGCTGGACCGTGGGATTCCAGGCCGGCTTCTGCGCCTCCGATCCCATGGAACGGGGAGGAGGGGGAAGTGTCCTGCGGGCCGGGGGCGGCGAGGCGGAAGCGGGTAAATGCTCGCGGGGGCTGGGCCTCTGGTGGGGTGGCACTTCCCCGTGGGACCACCCCACCCTTTCGGCTGGCCACCCCCAGGATCTCTGGGGACAGGGTCGTATGGCCCTGATAAGGGCTTTGGCCAGAGTCACTTGTGCCACATCTCAGCTCGGCCGCTTGGTCGTGGTGTCCCGCCGCTGATGGGGTCTGTCCCCCAAGACTCAGGGTGGCCTTTGGAACACAGCCGCCCCGAGGTTCAGGGAGGCAAGTGGTCCCCGGAGCCTTGAGGGGCGCAGCCGGGTTGGGCCCTCTGAGCTGTGGCGTTGTGGGCGAGGCCCGTTTGCAGGTGGGAAGGCTGAGGCTGGAGGAGGGGCCCTAGGGCGTGCTGCGGGTGGAGGCAGCCTCGGGCTCCCCGGCTCTGCTGCTGTGCTGGTGCCTGCCCGTGGGCAGTGGATTTGTGGCCCGAGCCTTCCTCCGGGGGAACCTTCTTCCTGCAGAGTCTACAGGGTGGGGTAAAGGCCTCATTAGCTCTCGCTGGGGCTTTGAAATCCCCGAGATGAAAGCATGTGTGGGAGGTCCCAGCCTCTCCCCGCAGCCTCTGGGCTGGCACACACCCCGGCCTGTCCACGAGGCCCCCGCGGAAGCGGGCCTGGGCACATCAGAAGCGGGCGTCTCTCCGGGGCCTCGCGGGTTGAGGGGCCGTGGGCGCGGGGGCGTCTGGGCAGGCGTGGGCGGGGTGGTGTGTTGAGGCCCCAGAACTCGGAGTGGGGGTCAGCCTCCTGGTGGCAGATGTGCTGTGCCCTGGGCAGCCGTGGGCACTCGGGCCCTCGGTGGCGTGTCTGCAAGCTGGGCTGGGATGAGTACTCAGCACGTGGCTCTCAGCCCCGGGCACGAGGTCTGCCTCGTGGACATGGTGGGCACTCGGGGAGCGGCAGCCTCGTGGCCCTTACTGTCACGGCCCACCTTTAGTCCTTCCCCTTGGGCGCACGGGCAGAGGGGCCAGCAGCTCGTGGTGAGCAGGCGTTCCAGGTGGACAGGCGGCTCTCTGGCCTCCTGGCCTGGACGGGCACCAGAGAGCCTGCTGCTGGCAGCTGTCCCCTGCTTGACCTGCGCCCCGCAGCCGGGGTTGGCGGGTGTCGGGGGGCAGCTCCTTGCGCTCCGGCCTCCTGTTGGCAGGAATCTGCGGCATGAACTGTTAGGCTCGTGGTGGGGTTAGGCTCACCATGGGGGTGCCGGGGCCTGGCCTCTCTGTGGCCTCTGTGCCCCGCGGGGAGCAGACTGGGCAGTGTGCGTTCCTGACCACCCTCTTCTGGGTTCTTGTCTTACAGACTTCTCCACCCAGGTGAACTCCTCGTCCCTCAACTCCCCGACGGGCCGAGGCTCCATGGCCGCCCCCTCGCTGCACCCCTCCCTGGGCCCGGGCATCGGTTCCTCTCTCGGCTCCCCGGGACAGCTGCACTCACCCATCAGCACCCTGAGCTCCCCCATCAACGGCATGGGCCCGCCCTTCTCGGTCATCAGCTCCCCCATGGGCCCCCACTCCATGTCAGTGCCCACCACACCTGCCCTGGGCTTCGGCACGGGCAGCCCCCAGGTAAGTGCAGAGGTGGGACCCCTCCTGTGGACCCGGGGGGCGCGCATTGTCATTTCTGCCCTTTGCCGCTGGGAAGCAGAGCCTCAGAGAGGAGGCTCCCGCCTGAGTTTGAGGCCGGCTCTGGCCGGCTCCCCAGCCGTGGACTCTCAGAGGTCATTAGCCAGGCTCGCTGCAGCTGGCCGTCTGTGCCAGTGGGCCCCTGCTGTCGGGGGGCTCCCTGCTCCCGGGGCCCGGCTCTGGAGGTGGGGGCTCTGTGTGTATCGGGTTGAACCCACCTCCCTGGAGCCTCTGCCCCTTCTCGGCCCTTTGCTTCTGAGGCTCTGCTCAGCCCACACCAGGGGCTTCGGCACCCCTGGGCCCCGATCCCAGGGCAGAGACGCGCAGGCTCCGTGCAGATGCGCCCCCCTCGGACCAGGCCCTGGACTCCTCTGCGGGGCTTGTGGTCTTTCCCACAGTCACGTGTTCGGAGCCCCCTGGCTTTCGGGATCGTCCATGAATCAGGAAGCTGGTGCCCGGCAGGGCCTGGCTCACTTCGGTTCTTGCGATGCGGATCCTGGAGGCCCGGCCCACCCTCTGCGGGGCGCCTCTCATCCAAACCCAAACCCCTGCAGAGCTGTCCTGAGCTCTTCTGGAGGTCCCTGCGCTGTGAAGGGGCCCCGGGGCCCGGTCGGGCCTCCCTTCTCCCAGCTCCGTGTACTTCCTGGTGGATTTCTGCTGGGTGGATGGGAGACCTGCCTGAGTCCTAGCTGTCCTTGCTGGAGTAGGGACGGCCCCATTCCCCGTCCGAGTCCAAGTGCCCGCGCCGCCCTTCTTGCCCCAGTAGGTGAAGGCCCCCATGGTGGAGGGTCTGTAAACCATCTCCACGGAGCCTCAGGACGGCCTGCTGGGAGGCACTTGAAGTGCAGGCGTCCCTGCCCAGAGCCATACATCTAATCGTGCCCACCGTGTCCCAGGGGCTCCCAAACCCCCTACTGCCATGCCACCTGCAGGGCAGCCCTCCTTGGCCCTGGCTCGGGAGGCCTGGGGCACCTCTGAGCCCGCCCGCTGCCTGTCTGGCTGGGCCTCTAGGGCTGGCCTTGGTGCAGGATCTTGCTGGCTTTTCCAGAGTGACCTTGTCAGCCCTTGGTGGCCGAGGGAAGGGGGCAGAATAGCTAGGGCCCCTGTCATGTCACCTGGGCCCCAGAGCAGGCAGGAGGCCTGAGGTGCTGGCATGCAGGAGGCTCGGCTGCCTTCCTGGGCCTGGCCAGGTCATTTTCAGCACGGCCGCCCCACCCCCACTCTTGCTGGCTGCAGAGCGCCGTGCAGGGAGCGAGAGGACACAAGGAGTGGGAGCCCGCACCTGCTCCTTGGGGACCGTGATGGAGGCAGGCACCTGCAGACCCTCAGCCCCACGGGGGTCCTTGCCGGCCTTAGGCCTGCCACCTGTCCCAGACATCCCGAGGGCTCGTGCACAGCAGGAGCCCAGCGGTGGCAGTGATGCCCTTCAGACCTTGGGGGCACCTGCCCCTCGGTACTAGTCACCTGTCTGGAGGCAGGGCGGTGCGGTGCTAGGGAGTGAGGGGTTTCGGGACCACACTGTCCTGTTCTGTTATTCTCTGCGCTCAGCCTGGTTCCTGGCACTTAGTGGGTGCTGGTTGAACCCAGGTTGTGTGGGGAAAGGGGCCCCGGGTCCCATGAAGCTGACACGGAGTCAGGGCAAGAGTTGGGCCCGGGGCAGGGCAGGAAGCAAACCTGTGTCCCAGATGCTCATTACTGCCCTGTGGTCGGCAGCCCATCTGTCTGTGTGTCAGTCCGTCGGGTGGGCCACAGTGAGTTCTGCCACAGTCTGCGCACCCCTCCTCGCGCCGTGCTTGGCCTTTCTGGCTGCCCTTCCCGGCTGGGCCTCCGTCTCCCCTGAACCCTGCCGCCAGCCCCACGCCCCCGTAGCTCCTTCCTGGAGCGAGCGCAGCTTCTGAGTTTCAGCAGCTTGTCTCGGAGACCTGGGGTTCCCCATATTCATGGGCATGTGGGTGGAGTTCAAAGGGGGGCATGCCCCACCCCCTCCCCAAACCACAACCGCGAAGTCATGGTTGCCAGAACGGGGAGGTTCTCTGCTGTTGTTGGGGGAGGCCCAGTGCTCTGCGGAGGGCTGCCCGCTCGAGCCCACAGCGCTGAGGGAAGGGGGAGTCAACACCCGAGCCCACCCCACTTGGCCCGCCGTGTGAGCTGGGCCGAGTGCCCAAACGGCCCCGCATCTCTTCCTGGTCTGGGGGCTCCATCAGTGCCAGGCCCAGGAGCGTCCCCCGCTCGTCCCAGAGCCTGCCCGCCGCACCTGGCCCACCGTGGGCAGCCCCGCGTCCAGGCGTCTCCAGCCCGGCGAAGCTTCCCCGGTGCGGGATCCTCTCGGGCTGAGGGGTCCTGTGGCTGTGAGGCTCTGGGACGGGGCGACCAGGTGAGGTGGGTCGTGCTGCAGGGTTTGCCCCTGCCTTGCTGGCAGCGTGAGGCCGGCAAGGCCGAGGACCTGCTCCGTGTGTGGCGGGCCTGAGCCTTCAACCCCGGTTCTGGCCGTGGGTGATGGCCTCCCCCGTGGGTTGGTGGGGAGGGCCTGCCGTGGGCCCCGGAGGAAGGGCGTGGTGGGCGCGGAAGAGAGGAGCCTCGTGAGGCGTCAGGAGACCCTGGTGGGGCACGGAGGAGGCAGGTGGTGATTTTAGTAAGTCCTGGAGGCTCCGGTGGGAACTGAAATAGATGCCAAGGGTCTGAAAGGGGAAACGAGACGGGCCCCCACCCTGGCCACAGCACGCGGCCATCGGGCTCCAGCGTGGGGCTGCTGGCGCTGTGGGTCTCCCCAGAGGTGGGGTGGGGTGGGCTACAGGAGGGGAGCAGCCCCTCGTAGGTGGGGGGCTGGGGAGGGGTGTGTGCAAGGTAGAACGAGGCCCCCGGGAATCGGTTTGTCCTCTGTCCGGGAGCTGTGAACCCAGCCAAGGCCCATCAGCTTGGAGCTGGGCAGGGGGAGCGGTGTGGAGAGCGAGCCCAACCCCAACAGCTTTGCCCTGCTGGCCCTGTGGGGACCACGTACTAGTTGAGGCAAAGAAGCGAAGTGGGTAGCTTGTGTTGAGTGGGGTCTCCGGCCCAGCCCTCGTCTCCCCACACGTGCAGGGGCTCCTCGGACGACTACTTTTCTCGTGGGATGCCTAGGCCCGGGAGGGCAGGGATGCCCCGGCACGTGGTCCGGGGCCACATCACTGACCGTCCGTCCTGCCTGTGGCTCCTTCCCATGTGGGTCCCCGGCCAGCCTCCTCCCTGCTGCAGCCCTGCCTCAGTTTACCCAGGGGAAGCACCAGTCTCTAGGGCCTGCATGCACATGGGAGGCTGGGAGGGCAGGTGGCCCGCTATCTGCCCAGCATGCTGTGGGCAAACGTGAAAGAGGAAATGCCCAGGTTCCTCTCCCTGTGCTCCCAAGTGGACCCAGCCACACGGAGACCTGCCCAGGCTCCCACAGCGCAGGGACAGGCCTCCTGCTCTCGTGTCCTGGGTGGCTCCCTGCAGGTGGGTCATGGGGACCAGCTGGCGGTGCCCCCTCCTGGAGGCTGAGCACTGAGGCAACTCCCCGGGCGTCTGCTCGGTTATGTGGCCAGCAGCCCTTAGTCCCGCACACCAGTGACCTCAGGGGCAGAATGACAGTGATTTCCCCAAAGGCGCACAATGAATGGAGGGGACGTGATTTGGAGGCCTTGCCGAAGCTGCACTGTCCCCCCTACCCCGCTCCTCCCCTGTCCCCACCCGGCCCATGAGCTCCGGGGCACTGTGTCTCTGACCGCCTGGTTGGGGTCACCGAGCGGCTGTGGACAAGCCAGTCTCTTGGGGCCTTGGTTTCCCCTTCTGCAGCACTCGGGCGTCTCCTCGGTGCTCACCACCTGCCACTCCGAGGCCTCAGCTTCACCTGCTGCTCCGCCAGTCCCCCAACCCGGGAAATGGGGGTCCAGGGGGCGTTCCCGCGCTCTGAGGGGTGCGCACATGAACCCGGCGTGGGCGCTGGGGCTCTTACAGACCGCGCCCCTGCTCAGGCCCCTGTCTTCCCTGGGGGGCGCTCCTGGCACCTGGAGACGGAGCAAGTGGGCCTGCTGGCCTTGCCCGGGGGGCTGCTCTGTTCTTCGTGACGCCCCACCCTGGTCCTGCAGGGGTTAAGCGTCCTCACGGAGCCGCTCGGCCCAGGACCAAGAGCGGGCCGGGGGCCGCATGGAGGCCCACGCGGAAGGAGGCTTTGGGTGGTTTCTGCTTCGTGTGCCTTGAGCCCACGCTCTTCCTGCCCCTTAAGGAAAGGGGCAGGGGGGGTTGGGGGCCGTGGGGAAGGAAGGAGGCGAGGTTCCCGCTGGCAGGGGGGCCCCGGGGCTACCAGGGGGCAGCATGGCGCCCGCCGCCCTTCCCCACAGACGCCCGCACCATCCGGTTTCCTCCTCCGCCGGGTTTGCAGAAGTGGGGGTATGGGGGTGCCGCGCGGCTGGGGTCCCGGCACCGGGGAGACGGGCCAGCCTGTGGGCTGCTGTGGGGAGCGTCTCTGGGTGCTGACAGCAGCCCTGGACTGGACGCAGCAGAACCAAAACTGCTGTGTCACCGCTGTCACCGCCGCGCGGCTGTTGCCGGGTGACTGGTGAGTTTCCCCTGCTTCCTCCAGGAGGGGCGGGGCTGGGCGCCGAGGGGTGCTGGCCTGGCCCTGCACGCCTGGAGCCACATGACCCGGGACCCCCACTCTGATCCCTGCGGCCCCGGCAGGGTGGCCTGCTGCATGGACCCCGACTCTCTGGTCTGCTGGGACCAGGCCTCGGCACCCACCATCTGTGGGTCGGGGTTCCCCCAAGTGCCTGCCTCATGGGGACGGTGGCGAGTTCATGCGGTCTTGTCCAGGGCGTGCACAGTAATGGGGGGCGGTTCTTAGCTGAGCGAGGGGCGGGGGCATGAGCAGGGCCTCAGGGGTCCTCCCCTGAGGTCTGGGTCGGCTGTGGGCAGAGCAGCCCCCCGAAGCCTGGTGGCCACTCAGCACAGGTGGGCCCTGCCCTTCCTGAGCTGTGTGGCCTGTGGTGGGCAGGGCCCCCCTCTGAGCCTCGGTTTCCCTCTCTGTAAAGTGGGGTTACGTTGGCGGCTCCCTGACCGTGGGGTGGGTGCGGGGGAGCATGCTGACATGTGCCCCCTAGACACCCCCGCTTTTCCCTCCTCAGCTCAGCTCACCCATGAACCCCGTCAGCAGCAGCGAGGACATCAAGCCCCCCCTGGGCCTCAATGGTGTCCTCAAAGTCCCGGCCCACCCCTCAGGGAACATGGCGTCCTTCACCAAGCACATCTGTGCCATCTGTGGGGACCGCTCCTCAGGTAGGACGCTGCGGCACCGCGGGACCCCACAAGCGGGGCACAGGGAGGCGGGAGGCTGGCCGGGGCGGCGTGGTCACGGGGGCCTCTCCCCGCAGGCAAGCACTACGGGGTCTACAGCTGCGAGGGCTGCAAGGGCTTCTTCAAGCGGACGGTGCGCAAGGACCTGACCTACACCTGCCGGGACAACAAGGACTGCCTGATCGACAAGCGGCAGCGGAACCGCTGTCAGTACTGCCGCTACCAGAAGTGCCTGGCCATGGGCATGAAGCGGGAAGGTGGGCGCGGGCACTGGCGGGGGCGGGGGTTGGTGCACTGCCGCGTCCTGCTTGCACGGGTGCTCGCTCCCTGCGGGGCGTGTGGCTGTGCGCCGGGCTTTGCTCCACCTTCCCTGGCGCCTGCTGCGTGCCTGGGGTCACCGAGGGGCCCGCGTCCGTCCTTCCAGCCCGGTGGCGGACTCGCGTCGATCAAACCCTCATGGTCATACCATGAGGTCGTGGCAACCCGGTGCGTGGTTTCCGGGACGCCGGGCAAGGGCAGAAGCACCGCGAGGGCCGAGGTGGGAGGTGGGGTCGGGGCGGGAGGAGCCCAGGGTCGCGGGTGCCTGTGTGTCCTGAGCAGGATGCTCCGGAGACCGAGCGGGTGTCCCTGAGCCCGCCGAGTGCTGGGGTCGCCCTGGGCCCCGCTTCCTTCTGCGCACCTGGCGAAGGCTCCCTGGGTCCTCAGAGCAGTCGGACTCTCAGGCTTGGGTATGGGGGTTTTATGGACAGAGTTTGTTAGGGGCAGGGCAGGGGGACAGCTGGCATGGAAGGTCACTCCCCTGAGGCCATTGAACTTGTTAAGTGACTCAGCCAGACTTGGGCCCGAGCCCTTGGCCCCAGCGTGGCAGTGTGACCTCCCTCTGTCCAGCCTCTTGCTGTGGGCCTCAGTTTCCCCATCTGCAGGCTTGCCGACCTCTGCGTCCTGCTGGATTCATTCCCTGGGTTACACTCTGCTTCTGTGCTCAGATGCAGCGGGTGGGGGGCCCGTCTCGCTGGCCCTCGTACCCAGGGCCTCGTGGGGCTGGGGAGGTGCTCTCTGGAATCAGGGGCTCTGTGTCGGCTCCCGTCTGTGCCGCCGCTGCTCCTGACCGGGTCCCCAGGCTAGTGGCCCACCGCCGAGGACTGTCACCTGCGGTGCCTGTGGTTCTCGTCTCATTTCCTCTTTTAGCTCCATGATTCTTGGGGAGAAGCTGAGACCCAGACGGTCCATGCGGTCCTGCAGGATTTCCTGCTCCGGGCTGCAGGGGACAAGCAGGACATGGTGCCACTCCCGGCAAGGGGAGCCGCAGGGGCCGGTGCCGTCCGTGGGGGGTGTGTGCCCCCAGGCCTTCTGGTCGGGGCGCCTGTTCCCTGTACTGCTCGGTCCATCCACTCTTCCTCGTGGAGGTGGAGAGGCTGAAGCCCAGAGGGTTCCAGGGCTTGTCTGAGGTCGCATGCCAGGTGGGGCGCAGGCGTCCGGCTCCCAGTGCTGCCCTCCTTCCTTCAGGCCATCCCGGGCGGAGGACGCACGTGCCCAGCCGGAGAACGTGTGCACCTGGCCCCGGTTCCTCCGGATGCCCCTGTAATCAGGGAGGCCTTGCTGGGGGAGGTCCATGCAGCGTTGTTGCTGGGACAGGAACTCGGGCAGGGCAAGCGTATTGCAGGCAGTAGACCGGTGTGTGCCCAGGTATGGGGCCTGGGCAGAGGGCTGGGTGCCGGCATGCTGGGGGAGGCTCGGGCTTCCTCGAGGACAGCCTAGCACAGGGCAAGCCTGGGTTAGTGCCCGAGACCACTTGCTTGCCAAGCTCAGCTCTCCTGGTGCCAGGCGCCATGCTGGGTGCTGGGCATGAGCACTGAGCTGTGGGCAGGCGTCCACTGACCATGATTGTCACGTTACCAGGCAGCGCCCCCCCCCCCACCCCAGTGTGGTCAGTGTCGGTCGGGGAACCCAGCTGCGGGCCGATGTCCAGCCTGATGTCCTAAGACTGGAGGGTGTAGGGAGAGCGTGAGCCCAGCCGGAGGGCGTGCGTGTGCTGAGGCCAAGAACACGAGCCGATAGGGCTGCTCTTCGAGGCCCGGATGCCATTCCAGGCCCCAGAGAGTGACCCTCCCCCCAGGTCCCTGGACGGCTCCGGAGATGCTGACCTCTTCCTCAAGCCCCCTTAGCCTGGCTGCTTGGAGCCTGAGCGCCATCAGACTCCGGCTGCCGCCTCCCCTGCCCGTCCCGGGAGAGACTGGGTGATGCCCGTCTTGTCCCAGTGCAGCTCCAGGGTCCCAGGGTGGAAGAGGCCTGGTCTGGCCCCTGCCCTGGTGCCCACGGGGACAGGGTGTTGTGTGGAGGGCCTCACTGGGCACCCTGCCCCATCGCCCTGCTGCTGGGCTTCTCGGAGACAGACGGGCTGCAGAGGTTGTGGGGGGAGGGGTCCGGGCTGCCCCCGTCAGCTCCATCCGGAGTCTCGCCGGCCTGTGTGTCTCTCGCCTTGCTCTCTCATCTGACGGATGAGTCTGGTGCTTTGGGTGCATTCCTGAGGCAGCACACGTCCCTCAAGACCTGAGTCATGGGCCGTTAGATAAATACCTGATCCCGGCAGGGCCCACCCGCTTCTTGCCTTGTATTGGATTTATAAGTCACAAATGTGCAGTAAAAACCCTCCCACGGAGCTCTCTCCTGCCCCAAACACAGCAGCACACAGCTGGGCCCCTTCCCTGTGCTTGCCCAGTGCTTGGGGCCCAGTGCACAGCCTCTGTCTTGAGTGGAGTGACCAGTGGCCCCAGTGTGACTCTGGAGCCAGTCCAGCAGGGAGCTCCAGGGTCTCCTAGGCCCCGAGGCCTGTGGCTGGGTGCCGGGAACTGCCCCGTCCCCCCGGAACTGGTCCTGAAACTGCTCCTTTCCTCTTTGTTGTCTCGGCGACGAGCTGGGGCCCCTGCCAGCAGCAGGGCAGCGTGGCACCCAGGGGAGTGGGGGCGAGCCACGCTGGGCTTGACCTGGAGCACGGAGGATGGGAGGTGTTGGTTTCCAGGCTGGCCGGGGCTGCGTGGCCCTGCAGGGAAGCTTGTGATCAGGGCCCCGGTACGGGCGAGGAAGCGGGCTTGCACCCAGACGGTGTCCCCCAGTGCTGCGCGGGAGGGAGCAGCTCGGGGTTGGCATCCGGACTGGCTGACCCTCAGGGACTGCTCAGGAGGGGCTTGCTCTGGCTCAGAGTGGACAGAGACCCCTCCTTGGTGCCGGCAGATAGCATCTCTGTTGGGCAATGCAGGGGCCTGCGTACACAAGCACCGGCCTGGGACTTGCTCAGCCGCATTCCCGGGGAGGTGGGGGTTGCGGCCCCGGTGGGAATGCCGGCCGCCGGCCAGGCTGTGCCCGGGCCTGTCTGCTGGAGCGTATGGTGGCAGGGCTGGTGGGGGGTGCTGCTGGCGCTTCTGGTCTGATGGGGGGCCTGGCCCCACCTGGGGTGATGCCCGCCCAGGCTGGAGGACCGCCCCACTGCCCGCCTCTCTGCTTCCTTCTTTCCCCTCCAGGAAGGCCTCTCCCTGCTTCCTTCCTGCCTCCCTTTGCTTTCTGAGCTCCGTCTCCTGACCACGTGTGTGTGTATGCGTGTGTGTCTGTGCACGCATGTTTGCACGTGTGTGTGTGTGTGTGTGCTTGCGTGTGTGCATGCACAAGCGCCCCACACATTCCTGCTGTGGACAAAGAGCCCAGCTGGGTTCCCGCACTACCCCGGCAACATCGAGTGGGTGACTGCCTGTCTGTGCCTGTTTCCGCAGGTGACCGTGACAGCGCAGCGGCTCCCTGTGGGCTCGTTGGGAGGAATGGGGCAGCGGTGGTGTGGGGTGGATAGCGGAGATCGTGTGTGTCTGTGTCTGTGTGTGTGTGTGTGTGTGTGTGTGTGTGTGAGAGAGAGCATGTGTGGGGTCACTCCCGCATGCCGACACCTTGTCCTGGACTGAGTGCCTGGAGAGCTGGAGGGACGTGTCTGCTGAGCTAGAGAGCCGGTCGGCGGGATAGTCCCTTCTCTGGGTCAGACGAAGGGGCTCTGTGCCGTCAGTCCTGCCTGTCCTGGGGCTGCACACGGGACAGAGGAAGGGCCCAGCCAGCTGGCAGCAGGCTGGGGTGCTGCCTTCCAGAGACACCCCCTTTCCACGTCCTGGCTTCCTGCCCAGCCCAGCAGCCTGGAGGGGTGGCGGTGGGCACCAGGATGGGGGTGGCCTGCTCTGGCCGAGGGACTGCTGCCCCCCCACCCCCACATCAGCATCTCCCCAGATGCCGGGGACCCCGGTCTCGTTGGGTGTGGAACCCCCTCCCAGCCTGTGCCTCTGTGGTCTTCCCAGGGTCCCGCAGCGCTCGGGCCTGGGGGGATAATGAGGCCCTGTGTTCACAGACGCCTCCTGCCTGAGGCTTCCCGGCGCCAGCACAACGTAAGGCAAACATGACTCTATCTGAAAGGTGATTGAGCTGGCAAGACATAAGTCCCCGGGCTCCCTCCTGCCCCCTCCGTGTCTATAAATAAAACCATAATATTTATAATGATGCTGTATGGAGCTGCCGGCCCTCCACGGCTTCAAAGTGCCTCACGGAGCGTTGGCTCATTAATTCGCGCTGCCCCCGTGGAGGAGGCAGGTGCTGGGGACCTCCACCCCGCGCTGCTCTGGGCGCTGCCCCCACCTTGGGGCCACCGCATCCGTCCCGTCTGTGCAGTGGGAGGAGACCCACCACTGGCCGCGTGTGAGGAGTGTGGGAGCAGAAGGCACGGAGGTGTGAGCACCTCGTGGGTCCCGCCTGGGGCCAGCACCGTGCTTCCCCGCTCCAGGGCTGAGCAAGTGGGGCCACAGGGCTGTCCAGGGCGGGGCGGGACCCAGGAGGCTGGGCTGCCCGACTCCTGAGCCTGGAGCCGCCCACTGTCCCGTGAGCTCAGCTGGGCCCCTCGGCTGCTGCGGGCCTGTCGCCCCAGCTGGTAAGACGAGGTGCCTCTTGCGGCATCCTGGCTCTAACAGCTTCAGGTTCTGCCCAGAGCACAGACCTTGAGGACCACCCCATCCTCGGGGTCTCAGGGACACGGGCCTGCCTGGATGCGGGTGTGTCACCCTGGCTGCTGGCCATGTGGCTTGGGTGATTCTTCTGGACTCTCATCCTCTGTGGCTGAGGGGGACCAACGAGGGGCCCAGCCCCCGCCCCCTGTTGGTGTCTGGAGGCCTGGCTGGAGAGGGGCCAGAGGACGGGCAGCCAGCCGCAGCCATGCCGGCTCGAGTCCCCCGCGGGCACCCCTGCTGTCAGAGTCTGTGGAAGAGCCGGGTTTGCAGCGGCTCTGACTTGGGGCCTCCTGCCGGGGCTCCTGGCCTAGCTGGTGTGGCATGAAGGTGTTGGCTGACCCATCCTTGAGACTTGCTGCGTGGATGGCAAGTCCCTTGCTTGAGTCGGTGCTCTGGGTCCCGGAGAGCGTAGCCTCTGGCTCGGGGTTGGGCCTGGACAGCCACTTGTCAGTACACGAGGGACATGGGGCCTGCCCTCAGGGGCCCACGGGTGGTCGAGAGGTGTTCATGTGGACTGTTAGGGAGCTGTGGGCCATGTTGTGGGAACCAGACAGGCCTGGGGGACCCCTGGGGCCAGCACCATCGGGGACCCCCGCACCCCTGGGCTGGAGGTGTGAGGGCAGCGAGGACTGGCCGAACCCGGGAGCTGCGGCCGCAGGAAGAAGGGACAGCTGGGAGCCAAGGCTGGACAGAGAGGGTGCCAGAGCCGTGCCACCCGTCCTCCCGCCCTCCGCCCTCCTGCTGGTGCCTCAGCGTTTGCCAAAGCCAGCGTGGAGCCAAAGGGGAGAGGGACGGGTCAGACAGCCTGAGTCTGGGCCCTTAGAGCCAGAGCCGGGGGGTGGGCCCGGGGTTTTAAGGAGGGGGTACTGTGTGTGGTCCCCGGAGATGTCGGGCCCCTAGAGAGGAGGCCCAGCCCCGTCTAAGACCCAGGGCCGTCACACTCAGGAAGCCCCAGGAGGGGCTGTATCTTCTGCTCTCCAGAAGGCCCTGCCCCAGGACGATGGACCCGGAAAGAAGGCACTGAGTGTGGAGTCCCACGGGAGCGTGAGGGGTGAGGGCGGGGTGCCAGGCTGTGGCTCTGCAGGGACTGGGGCTCCAACCTGGTTTTGGGGATGTCCGTCTGCGATGGGTCAGAGATAGGGAGTGGGAGGTGGCCTAAGGGAGGCTCGGTGGAGGGAGAGAGGGACCAGCGTGCGGCCGGTAGCCTTGGGAAGGCCTCGAGGCCCCTTGGCTGAGCCGGCACCTCCAGGCTGGCCGGAAGCTGGGTGGTGGACCAGAGGCCCTACAGCTGTCGGACTCCGCCGACCTGAGCCGGCTTCTCTGCCCTGGGCGGGTTCAGCCTCCCACGCACGTCACTATGTGTGATCTCCGTGCCCTGCCCTGGGGCCCCCCGCAGCGGGCTGTGTACCAGACCCTCGCCGAGGTGCAGCTCGGAGTGCGGTCAGGGACGGGGTGGTGAGGGTCCGGGAGGTGGTGGGAGCTGCTGCCACGTGGCCCGACCTCCGGTCGGGTGGTCTGGGTTCTGCAGGGCCCGTGGAGTGTGCTGGGTGCTCGGCCCAGCAGAGGGGTCCACTGGCGGTGGTCTTTGGAGGAGGGGCTGCCCGGGGCCGCCTCCTGAGAACGGCTGCTGCCAGCACCTGCCCTGTTCTGAGCCCTGGGGTTTCTGGTAAGGGGGTGAGCGGCCGGAGCTACTCGGGGTGCTGCGAGGGACCCAGGCCTGGCGTGTGGGTCCTCACTGACGAGCCTTCCCGACCTGGAGTGGGCCCAGCTTCATCAGTGCCCCTGGGCTCTGCAGCAGGGGGCCATTTCCAGGCTCTTCCTCTCCTCTGGGATGGGCATGTGGACAGAGGTCTCTGAGTCCCCTCACCAAGCTCCCACTTGGTGATGGGGTCTCCAGGGGCCCCAGGAAGCCGAGGGTCTTGTCTGGGGCAGTGGCAGGGAGCCGGCCCTGCGGAAGCCGTGGTCACCCCAGGGGTCTGGTGCTGGGGCCCGTCGACATGTCTGGGGCTCAGGAGAGCATGACTGTAGAGGGTGGGCTTGGGAGGCCTTGGGGGAGGCCCATCCTGGTGCTGCTTTGATGGCCTCTGGGGGCCCCCGGAGCCTAGCCAGCTCAGGCTTGACCAGCGCCAAAAAGAGAGCGCCTCCCGGCCCGTGGCTCTTCTCCCCGCGGCTGACTCGTTTGCCCCAGTCCAGGGCCCTTGGTGCTCGTACCAGAGCAGAGGGGAGGCGATGGGGGTCCGCCCGGGGGGCCGCAGCCACCTCAGGAGCCGTGTCAGGTGCTAGTGGGACTCTGGGGGGTGGGGGTCCGTGGCCCAAGGTCTGTAAGCCGACCTGTCCATGTGGGGCTCCGTGTGGCTGCTTGGAAGTCAATGCCTCCGTCTCTGCGTCTCTGCATAGGCTTCCCTCCCTGCTGGGCCATCCCCTGACCACCCTCTGACCACCCCCGTGCTCAGCCCTCCCCCCCACCCCCAGGCCAGCCCAGGGCATCCTGGCTCACACTCGGGATTGGCCTCCAGCTTCTGGTCTCCCTTGGGACCCCTCTTCTTCCTACAGCTGGAGACGCATGTGCCGTGCTGTCTCTCTTCTGTGGCTCGTCAGACCCTGTGCAGGAACTTGCCTCCTGCCCGCCACTGGTACCCCCCGCAGTGGTTCTCCAGCCAGTGGCAGAGGTCTCCATTCATCAGGAGCGGCTCTGTTCCGGCTCTGGGCCTTTGCACATGCTGCCTCCTCTGCCTGAACTGTTACCTGTCTTTTTTTTGCCACTTCTTCCAGGAAGCCTTCCTGGTTTTGTTTGAGTCCATAGTCCATTGAAGCTCTTTTCACTGCATGCTGGGAGTGCTGCTAAGCCACCGGTCAGCTGTGTGAGAGCGGCCTTGTGTACTCTGGCCGCTGTGCGCCTGGCCCTGGACGGGTGCTGGTGTGGGCCAGTGTGTTGGGTGGATTAATGTAGGGCGGGTTGTACCCTGTGTTCTGGGCATGCATGGCTGCTGGAGGCCAGACCTGGGGCAGAGATGGGGCAGGGGTTCGTCCAACTCTGAGCCGTGCCTCCCTCTGTGGCCCCGGTGGGTGCGCTGGCTCAGGGTTGGTGCTGCTGGGCTCCTAATGGCTGAGGGAGTCGCGGGCTGACCCCCCCCCCCCCGCCCCTGCAGCCGTACAGGAGGAGAGACAGCGGGGCAAGGACAGGAACGAGAACGAGGTGGAGTCCACGAGCAGCGCCAACGAGGACATGCCGGTGGAGAAGATTCTGGAGGCGGAGCTGGCTGTCGAGCCCAAGACTGAGACATATGTGGACGCAAACATGGGGCTGAACCCCAACTCGGTGAGCTCCACCCCTGCACACACAGCCTCCCCCGGGGCGGCAGGGCCGGCACTGCTCGGGGACCGTTGGCCCGTGGTGGGTGGTGCTGGATAGGAGGCCCAAGCTGTCGTGGGCTGCACTGAACGCCAGGACACAGCACGTGCTGTCTGGCTCCTTGTGGCCTTGGGCCATTGCTCAGCTGGGTCTCGGGAGTCCTGTACCTGCCCCAGACGTGCAGGCCGCGGGGTGGTTTCACCTGTGCCCTCTTGTGGGGTCAGGGCTGGGATCAGAGCCCTGTGACTGGCCCTGAGGTCACAGCAGCCTCCCTCCCTCTGTCCTCCACCTGGCCCAGAGCAGCTCCCACCGTGCTGGACACGCCCAGCTCGGGCCCCCCCAACTCCAGGGTCTTTGCACGTGTGGCTCCCCCTGATTCCTCCTCAGGCTTCTGTCTGGTCCGAGGTGTCCCTTTTCCCAGGGGCCCCTTTCCCGCCGGCCTGCCTTCATGGCCCTGCAAAGGTGGGTCTGGCCCCATGACGGGGCACAGAGCTTCCTTCCTGTCCCCTAGCATGCGGCAGCTAGTAGTGGGGCGTGTGGTGTGTTAACTCCCGCCCTGCCACGTGCCTGGAGGTGGTGGTTGGTCATGGCCCAGCTCCAGCCAGGACCCGCCTGCCTGTGGGCACTCACGCAGAGCCCAGGCTGGGAGGGTCCCGTGTGCTCGCCAGGCCCCTGTGGCCGGGTGATGGGCCGTCCCTGCTTCCCTGCACTTTCCTGCACACCGCGGCCCCCTCAGATCCGTGCCCTGTCAGGGAGGAGGTGCGCCCGGGGCCGAGCCCTGCGGTCCCAGTGAGGGAGGGGAGGCCCGCTTCGAGGCGTTCACGATTGCGCAGGAGCTCCAGAAAGTACTGGGAGGGGGCAAAGGGTTGCTAAGCCAGGACATTCTTAGGAACAGCCGGGCTGCCCTCTGCTCCCGGCTGTGGACCCACGGAGGGGCTTGCTGAGCGGGGAACACGCATCATCTCGTGCCCAGCAGGTGCCTGCCTTCCTGCCCGGGCCGGGCTCTCCCCGCACGGGGCTGCCCTGAGCCTCTGAGGAGCAGAGTCTGGCTATGGTGGAACGCACTAGAACCCAGCCCTGGCGTCTGGCGTGCTGGCTGCTGGGTGTGTCTCACGCGGGGACTCTGAGCGGGCTGGCCCCTGTGCCCGCGTGAATCATGGGGTGGGGGGAGCACCCTCGGGGGTGTGGGGCTGGGGCACGGGGCCCCGGGCTTCTGGATTGCACTGAATCTGCTGCTGGGGATGGAGGAGGGACTCGGGGTGAGGGCCAGTGTGGGGGGCACTCTGGGTGTTGGCACCCTGGGCTGGGGGTCCCTTGTGCCCCAGAAACCCTGGCTGACGCCTGTATGTGCAGCTCCGTGTCCCCGTCTGCACAACCCAGTCCCTTCCAACCCTGTGGCCTCTGTGCCACTTTGTTACCGGGCGTCCCACACGCGCCCTCGGCGGGCCCTTCCCGCGGGCCCCGGGCTTTAGGACGGAGCCTCCCTGTACGCCAGGTGTTTCCTGTCGAGGCAGGGGAGCTCTTCAGAGGATGCCCCGGCCATCGTGTGTGGCTGTCGTCCTCCCCCTCGCTCAGGACCCAGAGGGTCCGCTGGTCAGGAGCCGGGAGGGGGCTCCTCTGAGGCCTGCCTGGGTTTCCTCATCTGTGACAATGAGGGGAGAGTCTCTTTTGGCTAGAAGTTTCCGGAAGGGCCTCTGATGCCCCCATCTGTGTGCTGTCTCCACACCTGGTGGGAAGAAGTGGCCTAGAGGGGCCGGCACTGGCCGCCGTCCTCAGAGTCCTGCCCCAGCCTGGCACTCACGCCCGCACCTCCGTTTCCCCACCTTTGACTGGGCGCACTTGGCCCCCACACCTAGGGCTTCCCACCGCAGTGATTTTAGGGTCTTACAGTCCGGGAGGTCCGAAGCCCGCAGCCAGCGTCCTGGCACGAGAGTCGTGGTGTGGGCAGGGCTGGTTCCTTCTGGGGAGGACGTCCCTTCCCTTCCGGCTGCTGGAGGTGCCGCCTCCTTGGCCCGGGCCCTCCTCCAGGGTCAAGCTGGCAGCTTCTCTCCTGCTCACAGGTTCCCGTCTCTGACCCCTGCTTCCCTCCTCGGGGACCCCGTGGTGACCCCGGGCCCCCCTCAAACCCTCCCTCGATCTTGCCCACAGAGGGGGGCGCAAAGCAGCACTAGCCACGGGCTCGGGGCGCGAGGACACAGGCCCTGGGGCCGATCTTCTGCCCAGGGCTGGGGCAGCACACGCAGCGGGGGCCTGGTCTGGGCCGTGCTCTCAGCCGGGCGCTCAGTGGGTGCCTCTCCCCGCCCAGCCCAACGACCCCGTCACCAACATCTGTCAGGCCGCGGACAAGCAGCTCTTCACGCTGGTCGAGTGGGCCAAGCGGGTCCCGCACTTCTCTGAGCTGCCCTTGGACGACCAGGTCATCCTGCTGAGGGCAGGTGAGTGACTGGGCTGGCCCTGGCAGGGAAGGGTCGGGGGCAGAGGGCGGGGACCTGGGGGACACCCCTTTCTCCTGCAGTGTGGGGCTCCCGCCTGGCCCTGCCGTCCTCTGGCCTTGCTCCCCCACCCACAAGGAGCTCATTGGTTTCAGGTCTCTAAGTGGCTTTCGGAGGGGCAGGGGCTGTCTGAGGACCTCTGCTCCTCACATGGGGACTGTGGAGGGGGCAGGGGTAGGAGCACAGACTCTGGGGTTCGGGTCAGGCCTGGCTCCCGACATGCTCCAGGCATGCCGAGTGTGGGTTCCTGCTGGAGGGACAGGAGGGGCAGGTCGCCAGCTGTGCGGGGTGCTGGGCCTTTGGGGGGGTGGCGGCAGGGAGCACTCCCACCCCACCGGCCTCCTTCCCTGCCGGGCCGTCTGCACGTGCTTGGTGCGTGGGAACATCAGAGGGCAGCCCTGCCCCATGCCTGCCAGGCCCTGGGTGTGCTTGGGGCAGCAGGAGAGGTGGCAGCCGGCCCAGAGGTAGGAGGACGCTGGGCAGGCCCCGGGGGGTGGGGGGATGGCAGGGAGAGGCAGAGTGATGGAGGGTGGTTCTGCCGTGGGGGGACAGATGCTCTTGGGGCCAGCTTGGCCCGCAGCAGGACTCTCGTCCCTGGCCTCGTGGGTGCCTCCAGCTGGGGCATAACACCTGACATCCAGAGCCACGAGGTGAAGGTGACAGGGGCCGGGGCTCCTGACTCCCTGTGTGATGGGGTGAGCTCTACCCTGCACCAGGCCTCAGGTTCTCCTTCTGGAAAGTGGGGCTATAGTTCTGTAGGACTGTGGTTGGTAGGAAGTGGGATAGCCTGTGTGACGCTGTGCCATGGAGCCCAGAGCCTTCGGGCCCCGGGAGTGTGGCTGTGGACAGGGCCATCTCTGTGGAGGTGGCCTGGGGCTCCTGTTCATGGGAGTCATTGAGAACCTGGCACAGAAATCATTTCTATTTCAAGTTTTGCTTCCATACTTTCTCCTAACGCTGGACACCTCCTCCGGTTTGTCTCGCTGGGAGCTCACGTAGAGGGAGTGTCCCGTCTGCCCGAGACTCTGAGATGCGTTGTTTTAGTTTAAGAATTTATTATTTTGTGGTGCCCCACGTAGCACGCAGTAACTGGAGAGTTTGCCGCTGAGACTAGGTGGGCGGCCGCTCCTCCGTGGCCGTCCCAGAGAGGATCCCCACATCCTCTGTGGCACGAGCGTCCTGCCTGTGTGGGAAGGGACCTCCCGGGACGCGTGGGGTTGGGGAGCACGTGGGTTACATAGAGCCAAAGAAGATGCTCTGTGCGGGACTTCTCAGGGCCTTTACTGCCCGAGTTTGCACCACAGAAGGAAGAGGCATGTCCTCAACATCGGTGCTCAGGAGCGTTTCTGTGCCACACCCCCGGGATGTGGGGTCCCCGGAACCCCCTGTGGGACATTCTGCGACGGTGCTTGCTGCCTGTGGAGGCTGAGTGGCAGCCCGTCCGGGGAAGGGACCCCCGTGTGACCACGCCCCTCCTCCCCCCAGGCTGGAATGAGCTGCTCATCGCCTCCTTCTCCCACCGGTCCATCGCCGTGAAGGACGGGATCCTCCTGGCCACGGGGCTGCACGTCCACCGCAACAGCGCCCACAGCGCCGGGGTCGGCGCCATCTTTGACAGGTGGGGGCCCCACCCGGGTTCGTGGCCCATTCTGTCCCCGGAGGCTGTCGATGTGGACTTGGGAGGGCGAGGTTCTCGCCTCTGCAAGCCCCCGTGCTGGGGACACCCGGTGCGCAGCGGAACAAGCAGATGGGTCCCCTCCGGCTCCCTGACACCCTGCACAGTTAGGAGGGCTGCGCCGTGGAGTCCAGAGGCCTCTAGAAGGCACGGCTTCCTGGGATCTGGTTTAGAGCCGTGGCCCCCGCCCTGCTCCGAGCTGCCCCTGTTTCCAGCTGCTAGGGAGGGAGGCGACGGTGGCAGAGGGGCGCGCTTAGACCCCAGTGGGTGACATCAGGGACAGCCAGCCCCTCCTTCCCTCTGAGTGAACAGAATGGGACCGTGGCCTCGGGGCACCCTCTGGAGCACCCGTCCCCTCTGACTCTGACCTCCAGGCTCCCAGGGATCTGTTCCCTGTGCTGCCGGCCCACCGTCGGGGACTCCCCGGCTCTGCGAGGTGACCGTCCAGGCCCTCCCTGGGCCACCGTCCTTCGTTCCCCTGTCCAGTCTCACCGACCGCTTAGCCCTCCCTGGGCACGGCTGTCGAGTTTTGGGGGCCCGTGAGTAGGCAGGGGAGGTCGGGGAGCTCAACAGGGTGCTGCAGACAGACGGACACCACGGCCCACAGGGGCTGGGCCGGCGGGGGTGGTTCAGAGTCCTGCCCCCTGACAAGGAGCCACGGCTTGCTTTGGCCACGAGTGTCCGGTAGCAAAAAGCGAAACGTCTCCCCGCCCGGCAGCTCGGTAGGAGGAAGGAAGGCCACGTCCTGGGGAGAAGAGCTTTCCCGTGGCCGCAGGGCCTGGCCTCAGGCTCTTTCTGACGGGGGGCGCTAGGCGGGGGGGCGCAGTCTGACAGGACGGCGGTGGCGGCCCGCTTCCTCTGCAGGGTGTTGACGGAGCTCGTGTCCAAGATGCGGGACATGCAGATGGACAAGACGGAGCTGGGCTGCCTGCGCGCCATCGTCCTCTTCAACCCCGGTACGGCCTCCCCGGCACGTGGCCCGCCGCCCGCCCCAGGCTCCAGCGCTCGCTGAGCTGTGCCGTGGGGCCCGCCGCCCGCCCCCTCCTTGCGAGGGGACTAGCCCCGCCGCCCGCCTCTCACGGCTCTCGTGAGCGTGACACCTGGCATGGCCTGAGGAGCTGTGCTCACCCTTTGAGGTTTGGGTGCTGCGTCCAAAGCGTGGCCCCACTTTGCCCGGAATCCTGGGCCCTGGAAGAGGCAGCCTCTCCGTGAACTTCTAGTGGGCAAGTTCTGGAGCCCGGGCGGTGGGGGGGGAAACAGGGGCGCAGTGTCCTTAGGGGCTGCTGCCGGCTTCTGGGGGAGCTGGGGAGCTGGCCAGCCAGTGGGGAAGCCAGGATGGTGCCAGGGGCTCTGGGCCCGGACCTCCCGCTTCCCATCAGCTCCAGTACGGAGGGAGCGGGCTGTGGGAGAGAAGAGTGTTTTCTTGCAGGGACAGACCACGTCCAGGGGCACTTGTTCCCCAGGTTTATGCTCTGAGCCTGTGGTCCTGCCAGCATGGGAGCCGGGGCCGCACAGCTTAGCCTTGCCGGGTGCCCTCCCTGTTGCGGTTGCGCATGGCCTGGCTGCCGGCGCGGGGTCCCTGGCTGCGGGTGCAGGAAGGACGTGGCCAGAGCGGAGGCCCCCAGGCCTGGGTGCTGAGCTACAGAGAAGCCTGGCACGTTCCTGAGGTGCCCAGGGCCCCAGGCGGCCTGCGGCTTTCGCACTGGACCCTGGTGTACCTGCTGGGGGTGTGGGCACTGGTGTGAGCCCCCCAGTCTGTGGCTCAGAGGTGTCCTGATGGCAGGCCTGTCTCACCACGGAGCCACTGTGGGGCTCACTGGCCTCAGACGGCAGCAGTGGGCAGCTGTGGGCTCCAGCGTCTGCCCCCGGGGCTGTCAGGATGGGCCACCCTTGGCTAGGGCCAGACCTGGGGACTTTGAGCCCTAGCGTGATACCATGTGACATGGTGGCCGCTGTGGAGAGAGATGGGTTCGTCTCTGGGGGCTTGCTGGGTCGTGGAAAACCCCGGGAGACGAGGAAGCCGAGAGAAGGACCCGGCCCGGGTGGCCTCTGACTGGGACAGGAAGGGCAGGGCTGGCTCACCTGCTCGAGCCCTGGGACGTCTATCCCTGCCTCCCTAGATCCCAGCCCTGGGCCCTGGAGGCTTTGGTGGCTGATGTCCCAGGCATCTCTGTCCACAGGCTCCTGCTCCCAGGGTCCCAGGGCTCAGGCTGGCTGTCAGCCTCTCTCCCCACTGCCCTGCGTAGGGCTGCCTGTCTCTGGGGTGATGGTTCTGAGTTTTCCTCCCTCTCAGAGGAATGGAGTCCCCAGTGCAGCCAGGGTCCCACTTCAGCTTGGTTGCCATGGTGACCAGGAGAGGGCGACGGTGGCCCAGTGCACTTGACCCCCGATGGGGAAGCTAAGAGCCGGGACGTCCAGGCATGGGCTGCAGTTCACGTGTCCAGCGAGTGGCACGCCGGGACCCAAGCTGGGACTCGAGGGGCAGCCTCGGGGGCAGAGCCTGTCCAGCTGCCGCTGGCCCCAGCCGGGCAGGGCCGGGCGGGGAGCGGGCCTGGGTGCCCCGCGCAGCAGTCTGGGCTGAGGCCGCTGACCTGCGGCCTCTCCCCCACAGACTCCAAGGGGCTCTCGAACCCGGCAGAGGTGGAGGCACTGCGAGAGAAGGTGTACGCGTCCCTGGAGGCCTACTGCAAGCACAAGTACCCAGAGCAGCCGGGAAGGTGAGCCCTGGCCCGGGCCCCGAGGCCTGTGACCCCTGTCCCAGGCAGGACCGCCCCCGGCCCTTCTGGTACCTTTGTGTGAGTTAGAAGGCGGCGCCCTGCTCCGTGGGGAGAGCCCATGCGGGGCATGGGGGACGTGCCCGGGCGCTCCCGCCGCCCCTGCAAACACAGGCCCGCGTGCAGCCAGTGCCCTAGGACCTCCCTCGGCCCCTCATGGGCTCCCCTAGACCTGGGTCTTGGTGCTCTTGCCTGAAGTGGGGACAGATGCCAGCGCACGGTAGGCGCTTGTACACGTGTGCAGAGCTGTGTGGCTGCTGGGGGCACCGGGGTCCACAGTCCCGGGCGCTCAGCAGGTGACAAGGGGGCTGTCTGTGGCTTTGGTGCCATCGCGAGTCTTGTCCTGACTCTACCCGCCCCCCCTGCACCTGCAGAGGGCCTCTCTCGGGAGGGCCATGCCCCCCCACCGGCCGCCAGCCCCTGCCACCACCCGCCTGATACATGCACAGCTGCGGGCACGGGTGGCTGTGCCCTGCTCCTCACGGCCCTCATCTGGTTCGGTTTAAAGTGAAACTTGCTGAGGAGGATGGAGGGCGGGCTTGTTTTTCCTGGCTCCCCGCCACAGCCCATCTCGCCGGCTCAGCAGAAAACCGCTTTCTCTGGCCCCGGTCCAGCCTCTGCTGCGTTTTTGCCTTAAAACGTGGGTTGTGTGGCTGCCAGACCAACCACAGGGCTTTCTCCCCTGAAATACAGACGTTGTGAATAATTAATGAGGCCCCATGGCCCCTCAAGGGTCCATGCCGTTGCTGGGGGGCGGGGGCGGCAGCCGAGCAGCTGAGCCTGGTGTCCCCCGCCCCAGAGCCCCAGCACCTCCCGCCACCCTCCCCGTTCGGTCTCCTCCCATGGGCTGGGCAGGGCCTGGGGATCGGGCCTGTGGCTCGGCTCCAGCAGAGCCGTTTCTGGGGAAGGGGTGGGTGCCGGCCTGGGGCACACGGGACGCCAGTGCTTCACAAGCTGCGGCTGGATTGAGCCCGACCTGCTCCCCTGGCCCAGAGCCACTCTGCTTTGACTTCCCCACTGCTGCCAGACGCACTGCCAGTGCTTGGACCCATTTTCGTAGCTCTTCCCCTGCTCGTGCTTGGAGCAAGCCCACGTATTTTAACTTCCCCGTGAAGCCCTCTCGGGCCTGCAGCAGCCCAGCCACTGTCTTGCGCCTGGGCCTTCCTCCCGAGTCTCTCCGCCACGGGCCTTCCTTCGGGATCTTTGTGTCTACCCCGCACGCTCCTGCTCCCAGGCCCGGGCCTGCCGTCTCTGCTCCCTGAGAGGCCTGGCCCCCCTTGCCCCCAGGCTCTGCACAGGCCGGGCTCTGCTGCTGCGGCTTCCGGGCTCTGTCCTGTCCCCAGGAGGCCACCGGGTGCCGGGTGGAGGGTGGAGGGCGGGGAAGGTGGCCGGCGCGCGTTCACCGGGCCCTCCCACAGGTTCGCCAAGTTGCTGCTGCGCCTGCCGGCCCTGCGCTCGATCGGCCTCAAGTGCCTGGAACATCTCTTCTTCTTCAAACTCATCGGGGACACGCCCATCGACACCTTCCTCATGGAAATGCTGGAAGCCCCCCACCAAATGACTTAGGCCCGCCGGCCCGTCCTTCGCGCCCGCCTGCCGGCCTGGCTGCTCCCGCCCGGCCGCCCGCTGCTCTTCTCAGCCGAGCCCCGTCCCCTGCCCCTTCCCTGCCCAGCCTCTGCGGACGTGGGGACGCGGCCTGCTAAGCCTCCGTGTTGCCACCTCGCCGTTCCCGGTGCTGCTCGTGCGGGAAGCCGGGCCCCGGCGTTCCTGGGGTAGCGGGGCCAGCTCTCCGGGCCGCAGGCCCGCCCCTGGGCCACGCTGGTGTTCGGAACATCCCATGCTCCCCTCCTGTGTTTGGAGTGACCCCCATCGCCTCTCGTCAGGTGCCCCCCGCCGGCGTGCCCCACCCAGGCTCAGGAGCAGGGGGACAAAGACTCCACCTGCCCCCCAGCAAGGCGAGGGGGGCTCTGGGGTGAGCCAGCTTCCCTCACTATGAAGGGTGAGCGGCCCCTTTTCCAAAGATGACTTGCAGTGTCACCCCCAAACCAAGCAGGACAGGAGCTGACCTCCAGCAGGGTTCCGGGGCCCCCTCGAGGCTTCAGGGCCTGGGGTCACCCACCTCCCCCACCTCACCTTTCTCTTCAACTCGCCGCTTCAGCTTCTCCCCTGCATAGCCGTACGCAAGCCGGGGCGAGCGGACCCCATGTGCAGCCCGGCCTCAGTTCTGTCCGTGGATTTAGTCTGGGCAGAGGGGCAGGCCGGCCCCCGTCTCTGCAGGGTGAGCCCGCTTCCCGGCCTTCCCCAAGTCCGGGGCCATGCTGACCTGTCGAGGGTAGAGGTTGGAGGCAGGAGGATGCTTTATCCAGGGGGGTCTTCAGGCAGCTGGAGGGAGCCAGGGGCCCCCCAGGGCACGTGGAGCCAGAAGGCCTTGTGGGCAGAGAAGCTCAGTGGGAAGGGGCAGGCGGGCTTCCTCTGGAGCTGTTGGCGGAGGGGCCCCCGACGCCGGCGGCCTGTTCTCTGCGGACGAGTCCTAGACTCGGGGACTGTGGCACGCCTGGGTCCTGGGGCGTGCAGCGGGATGCCCCTCGGGGACAGCCAGCCCAGCTGTTGTCGGAGTGACCGCCTCAGGCGGGGCTCCAGCGTGTGCTCTGGCCGACGGCGCCCCCGTCCAGTCTGGTGCCTGCTTCTGTAGTGTTTCCGTGGCCGGGGCAGGGGCGCGGCCTCCTGGGGCGGTGTGCAGGGCTCTCTCAGGTTGAACTGGCTTCTTTTGCACTGTAACGCCCTCCCTTTGGTCTGAGTGCTTCCCAGTCTCGTGCTTCAGACTCCACGAACCTAGCGTCTGTCGCTGCTGGGGGCCCGAGCAGGGATGGCAGGGGCATGTGGGCAGCTCTGGTGTTCTCAGCCCCCGAGGGGTTGCTCAGTAGCCAGGCTTCCCTCCTGAGGCTCCCATGAGCGGCCCTGGGTTGGGGGTGCTTTCCCCAGAGTCTGGTTCCCCAGCTAGGGCAAGGCAGGCAGGGGCCTCCAGGCCCCGTGGGGAAGGAGGTGGCCCTGCTTTGCCTTCCAGAGGCCTCAGCCCACCTGACGGTTAGGCGCCAGGCCGGGGCTCTGAAAGCCTGCCCAGAAGCCGCCTTCCTCTGCCACCGGCCCCTCCTGAGGAGGGGAGGGGTCCCCTGCCACACGGGCGGCAGGGGGGGGGCATGGAGGGCCTGCCCAGCTCCCAGACTCTCCTGAAAGTCTTGGAAGCCTGTGGGGGTTCGGTTGTGACAGGCAGTGATGCAGGCACTGTTGGGAACTCTCGGGGTCCCCCCAGTTGTGGGGACGGTAGACTGCCCCACACCCGACACCCCCGGTGCCTTCTGCAGTCGGGCGCGCCCCGTCATCCATGCCCTGCCCTCTCCACTGCCTAGGGTCCTTGGGAACGTGGGGCCTCAGTGGAGGAAGCCCGGGACCGGGTCTGTTGGAGGGTCGGCTTCTGGAGAACTTCCCCGTTACGGGCCCGGGGACCCTGGCTGCTTGTCCATAAAGCCCTGAGGCTCCCGGGCTATGGCCTGGAAAGCTGGAAGCCCCCAGCCCCTCCGGGCTGCGGGCACGGCACTGTGGGTGCGTGGGGCTGTCCCCTCCTCCGTCTGGTGTCCTTGTCGCGCTTCCAGCGCCGCTGGGGGAGGTGGTGAAGTGGGGAGATAGCACGTGGCTCGGCAGAGAGGTAGGAGCTTTATTTACCGGACCGTTAGTAGTGTTATCAATCTGGTTCAATTAAGGTGATTTTTGTAATTATTTTTATTATTATTATTATTCTGGTGGGACAATCTTTAATTTTCTAAAGATAGCACTAACATCAGCTTGTTGGCCACCTCTCGCCCGTCTCCGCCTCGGCCCGGCCCGGGAGCTGCCGGAGCCCCGGGCGTGCTGTGCGGACTCACGTCCCCGCTGTGACATCGGGGGCAGGGAGCGAAGACGACTGTGCCTGCGTCTGCAAGGGGCTGTCCTTGGAAGCCGGCCTGCCCTTGGCGCCTGGAAGCACGTGGTCTCTGGGGCGATGGCCCCGCACCCCCGGCTCTCCACGTCTCCTGTTCCTCGAAGATTTGAGCCGGTGGCAAGCGTGGACACCGCGTGGAGCCCCTGGTCTGCGGGGGCCTCCGGCAGGGCCCGGCCAGATGTGTGGCCAGTGGGCGATCAGCTGATGTCGTCCCCATCACGGAATTGGGCGCATGGCCCGTGCCCTGTCGGCGCAGGGGTGCGGCGTGACACGTCCTGCTGCACAGAGACAGCGCGGGGCAGTCACCAACGTTTTGTCTTCGTTTCTAATCAAGACTTTCCCCCGTGTTCCTATACGTTTGCTTCACGTAAGCAAGCACGTGAGGACCCCTCCGTTGGTGAAATGGGGTTTGCGTGAGGATCTCAAGGCGAGGAGTGCATCTATTTTCAGATGCTTTGGAGCAAAAGCAGCTTTACCGGCCCCCGACCCTTAGCAAGGCCTTCGCTGGGACGCGCCGCGAGCCCTCTGGAGGGTGATGAGTACAGAGTAGAGAGAAAGTGTCTAAAGCATCGGGAAAGGTAAAAAAAAAATCTATTTTTGTACAAATGTAATTTTATCCCTCATGTATCCGTGGATGGTGGGGGGTGGGACTTGTTTTGTTTCTGCTTCTAGGGCTGGAAGAGAGACCGCGCTCCGGGAAGTGCCCGCACGGCCGGGGTTGCAGCCCCGGCTTTGTGCAAACGGCACGGACGTTTCCCCTCGGGCAGGGTGGGCCCGGACGTCCAGGGTTTTCTTCCCTTCTGAGTGGTTCCCGAAGCCTCGCTCTGTTTCCCCCCTCGCCCGCTGGCCTTCCCGAGACTGTTTGACTGTGAACTTTCTTCCCTGCGCGATTGTTCTCGGAGACCGGCGCTGCCGGTGCCGCGCGCGGACCCACAGCGGCGTTAGAACGTGGAAAGAAAAACACAGGAAAACGTGAGAGGAGAAACAAAATATGAGCGTTTAAAAATAGATCACGCTCCCATTCTCGTTTGTTCTGCTGGGGGCTTTCCTGCGTGGGGCTGGGAGCCGGCCGTGCGAGGGGGCAGGAGGGCTTCCTGGGGGCGGCGCAGGTGCGGGGGCGACTCGGCTGCTGCCCGACCTGCAGGGGGTTGGGGGCTCTGGTCCAGGGCAGCGAGGCCCCCGGCTCGGATTGTTGGCGCCCCGTCCTGCGACCGTGCTCCTTCCTTGGTCTCTGCTCCGCAGCCCTCGTGGAGCCCCTGTGGGCCCCTCTGCCTCACTGGGCACTGGGCACGTGGCCACCCGCCCTGCCCCAGGCTGCCCCAGCCCAAACGGGCCAGCGCGCTCATGCGGGGCCAGAGTGAATGACGTCATCCAGCTGCCCCGTTCCTAACGGGGTAATGACCGCCCACCTGCTTTGTGCCGTGTCGTAAACCCTCTTCACCTCCGTGCTGTCTAGGGGCTGGGCCGGGCCTGGCTGCCGTCGGGCGCGGGTGTCCATGTCCTCCCCCGGCTCCTTCCCAGGGAGGCTCTGGGCGCCCTGAGGCCTGGGGTCCTGCCCTCTGCCACCAGACAGATGCCGGCCGCGGGCGAGGGCCGCTTCCAGCCAGAGCGGCGAACCTCACCAAGGCAGGCCCGCGGCTCCCCTCCCCAGCAGGTGCACCCACAGCACGTGTCCACACACGCCCTTGTACACGCACGTGCACGCGCAGGCCCCACTCACGCAACACAGCACTCACATGGAGCGCAGGACAGGCCTGCTCACAGGCAACGCTTGCCCACAACGTCCGTGTACGTGTGACACGTGCACACACACTGTCCTAACACTGTGTACACACCGCGTGCACACAGCCTGCATACACAGGTGCCCGCTTTGCACGCCGGCGTGCAGGGGCCTCACAAGGCCTCTGGGAGTGCGATGCAGGACAGAGGGGTCTCCCCCGGGGAGTTGGCACCCCCCACATGCTCCCTCTGTGAGCTGGGCCTGATGTCTCGCTCCCGGGGCCCCAGCCGTAGCTGGACAAGCCTGCTGCTGGCTGTGCCCCTGGGGCCTCAGCCTGGACTCCCCGGGAGGGGGTGGGCACAGGGAGGCCCACTTCTGCCTGCAGCAAGCCCTCTACCTGCTGGGACTGGCCGGGACCCACCCGCTCGGTTTTCCGTCTGCTCAGAAGCGCGTGTCACCAGCCGTGGGGGCTGCCTGCTGCCTCCTGGGTCTGCGAAGAGGCTCAGGCCTGGGGATGGGGTTGGGGGGTCGGGAGGCTTGCCTCCCCGGGAAGGGGCCCTTGTCCTGCCTTCCACATGACCAAAGCCACCACTGAGTGTGCTGTGTGGGGCCGCCAGGTCCCTGGTGGGCCCCTTCCCCATGCAGGTGCCAGCCCAGCTCCGGGCAGGGCCTTCAGGACGTGCTAGGTGGTCGCAGGTGGGCTGGGAGGGCGCCAGGTGTGAGCGTCCCCTTCCGACAGCAGGCTCGGACAGCTGCAAAGCCAGGAGGGGCCGCTCAGTCCTGCAGGGGCCAGCAGAGGAGTGTTCCTCACGGGCTTTCAGGGTGTGGCCCTGCCCAGACCCTGCCCTTGGGGCCGGGAGGGCCGATCCCCGTCTTCCTAAGGAGCCGTGTGGGGGACCCCGGTCTGTCGGTCCAAATCAGTCAGGGGTGGCCCCGGCCGGAACAGGCCATTGACTGAGATGACCTCCATGGGGGCCACTCCTGCCCCAAGCCAGGGTCCCCCAAACCTGCTCCAGGATGGAGACCCCCAGGAGCACAGCTGGGCGGTGTGCCAACCCCGGTGAGAGGAACAGAGGCACTCGGGCAGGAGACCAGTGAGTC